AAAACTTGAGCTGAAAGTGCTGAAGGTAGGTTAGATAGTATTTTTATTACAGATGTTTGGTGAGTGATGTGGAAATTAAAAAATATGCTGTAATCTGTTGTATTGATTTGTTTCAGATGGCAAGTGTGCAATGTCCTCGAGACACGCATTTCTGGGTTTATGATGATGGGCGTTATGAGGAAGAAGGTCAGAATAATATCAAGGGAAATATTTGGGAAAAGGTATGTATTGTATTATTATCTATTATGTAATGTATGATATTTTCATATGTTGTAAAAAAAGTATGGTGGATAAAATGGTTTTTTGTTATTTTGTTGGGAAAAAGGCTTCAACACGGTTTCTCTGTACGTTGTTCTCGTTGCCTGTGCCACAAGGTCAGCCACAAAGAGAGAGGGATGAAGCCAGCAATTACACAACGGTTCCAAATTACTTTGAGCCCAAAAAGATTCAAAAGCTTTTATTACTTGGACTCGAGGGTTCTGGAACAAGCACCATCTTTAAGCAGGTTTGCCCCTATTTCATTTCCATTTTCATTTTCATTTCAAAAAAGTTAAAAAAAAAAAAAAAAAAAAAAAAACACTTTATGATCAGAGAGATTATCGATTGTAAATAGTACTAGTTAATGAGCACCTATAAAGATCATTTCCCTTGTGGTTATTGTGGATGCAGGCAAAATTCTTATATGGGAATAGATTTAGCGATGAAGAGCTGCAAAATATAAAGCTGATGATCCAGAGCAACATGTATAGATACCTGAGCATTCTACTTGATGGACGTGAGCGCTTTGAGGAAGAAGCAATGATGATGAAGAAAAACTCCATCTCCATAGAATCACATGATCAGTCCACCGAAACAGGTAGTTTGACTTTATTTTTTTTTACCTTTTGAACTCAAAAATCAACATAAACTTAAATTGAATGGTTTAATTTCAATTCAGGTGATGAGGAAGAAGCAAGCCACTGTGTCTACTCCCTGAACCCAAGATTGAAGCATTTTTCAGATTGGCTCCTTGACATCATTGCGACTGGAGATTTGGATGCATTTTTCCCTGCAGCAACACGCGAATATGCCCCACTAGTCGAAGAGGTCTGGAAGGATCCAGCCATCCAGGAAACATACAAGAGGAGAAACGAACTACACTTCCTTCCCGATGTTGCAGACTACTTCTTAAGTCGGGTGGGTATATTCATTCATTCATTTCATCATTTCTCAAAACAAACATATTAAGGGGACTTTTGATAGTTGTTGATTGAGTCAGAGGCTTCTAAGTATGATATCAAACAGTCTGGATCTGACCGAGTCACACCCAGTAATGATAATAATAATAATAATAATAATTTTGAGTGGATTTCAGGCGGTTGAGGTATCTAGCAACGAATATGAACCTTCAGAGCATGACATACTGTATGCTGAAGGTGTGACTCAAGGAAATGGCTTGGCTTTTATAGAATTCTCCCTTGATGATCGTAGCCCCATGTCAGAGACATACACCGATAATCTCGATGCTCAATCCCAACCTCTTACCAGGTAATCTTACATTTTGTACATCAGCATTTTTTTCAAAGTGATTAATCTTTTATATATGCTTGTTACTTGTTAGATATCAACTGATCAGAGTAAATGCCAAGGGAATGAACGAAGGGTGTCGATGGGTGGAAATGTTTGAGGATGTGCGTGTAGTCGTGTTTTGTGTTGCCTTAAGCGACTATGATCAAATGTGGCTATCACCCGACAACACTGGAAGCGGGTCCCTACTTCAAAACAAAATGGTTCAAAGCAAGGAGCTTTTTGAGGCGATGGTGAAACACCCTTGTTTTAAAGACACTCCTTTTGTGTTGATTCTAAATAAATACGATCTTTTTGAGGAGAAGCTTAAGCATACCCCGTTAAGCGCGTGTGAGTGGTTCACTGATTTCAGCCCGGTTCGACCCTACACCAACAACCAAAACCTGGCCCACCAAGCTTACTATTATGTGGCGATGAGATTTAAGGATTTGTATGCGTCTTTGACTACAAGAAAGCTGTTTGTTTGGCAAGCGCGGGCCCGGGATAGGGTGACGGTTGATGAGGCGTTTAAGTACATACGGGAGATTGTGAAATGGGATGATGAGAAGGAAGAGACGTATTATGGTGGGGCTGAGGACTCGTTTTATAGTACTACTGATGTCAGCTCACCACCTTTTGTCAGGCAGGAGTAGAAAGAAGAGTGGAAATTGAAGTATGTTTTGTTTTTAATTTATATGTTTGTTGTTTGTTGTTTGTAGATAAGAATATGGTTGGTGAATAAGAAGAAGTTGTTTTATTTGGATTTTTACAAGTTAGTAGCAGTTGGGATGGACTTAAGTAAGTTATATGGTTGGTAAACCTCCCTGTCGTGTCATGTTTTGTTTTTGTCCTGTAAGTTGATATGGGAAGGGTTGTTAAGATCCGATTTTCAAATGTAAACCAAGTCCATAAGTATTTTTTTTTTCATGTTTCTTAGTTCTTACTTCTTTATGCAGTTTTATATAACTTTATGATGTTTGGCAAGAAAAGAAGGCGCCATAGGAGAGGCGGATTTGGCGTGTCAAAATGGATCTAGAGTAGATGTGCACAAATACTGGTTTTCCATAAACCGGTTTTCAGCTTTTGGCTATAATTGGTCTTTTTGTTTTTTTCTGAAAGTGAAATTGCTTTAAAAAATTGGGTTTTCGGTTGAAAAAAACTGGTTCCTTGGCTTTTATAAGAAAACTGGCTTCAGTTTTTTATAAAGCCTTTTTCCTAACCGGTGATTCAATTTTAGCTTAACCGGTTTTAAAAAAACTAGCCTTTTTTTTTATGGTTTAAAAAAAACAACTCTTGATGTGCAGCTCTAGTCTATAGTAGAGGTGCACTTGGATTGGGTTGGGCCAAAAAGACTAGTATGGTAAACCCATGTTGGTTGTCTTATTGCCTACTCCTCTAGTGCCACTAAATGATTACCTCCTGAACTACATATACTTGTCTTTAGTTTTCAAGGTTGGGTGGCTTGGCTTGGTCAAATAAAGGACTGGGAGTACCATTAATTTAGTCTCACTCCTCTATGCTCTAGAGGTGGGCTTCTCTGGGTGAATAGGTTGATGCCTTAGGTAGAAGTGCACATATACCGGTTTTGGTTATAATTGGTTTGTTTTTTTGGGTTATTTGAAAGTGAAATTATGTTAAAAACCAGTTTTTTCCGATTAAAAACTGGTTTAGGTCAGTTTTTTAGAAAAAAAATCAGTGAAAACCGATTTCAGCTTTTTATAAAAACCTATATTAAACCAGCAGTTGAGTTTTAGTTGAATTGGTTATATCGGTTATTAGGCTTGTTAAGAAAAAACAGTTTTACTTTGTGCACATCTAGGCCCTTAAGGCTTGGGTTGTGGCCTAGTTGGGAAGTGGGGTTGCTAATAATATTCAACATTTGGGGCTTAGGCTTCATCAAATAAATTAGTGGACTATTAGGCCATCCAAAGTACCCATTACTAATCATTAATATGTAGAGTGTTACCTCATTAGCAAACACAGACAGGGCTGTAAACGAACTGAACGTTCGGCGAACCGTTCGTGAACTGTTCGGCGGGAAGTTCGTTTATGTTCGTTTATTTAATAAATGAACGAACATGAACAAAAATTATCGTTCGTTTAGTTAAATGAACGAACATGAACAATGGTCTCGTTCGTTCATTTATGTTTGTGAACGTTCGTTTATGATGTTCATTTACGTTCGTTTATGTTCGTTCGTTTAAGTTTATTTATATTCATCTATATTCAATTATTTTTTATTATATTGTTATATTATATGTTCGTTTATGTTTATATATGTTCAATTGTGTTTTTTTTTTTTTTATCTTTGTTCGTTTAGCATGTTCACGAACATAAATGAACGAACATGAACAAGAAAATCTCGTTCGTTTATCCGTTCGTGTTCGTTTGTTTTTAGGCTAACTTAAACGAACGAACATGAACAAGACCTTGTTCGTGTTCGTTTGGTTCGTTTACAGCTCTAAACACAGCCACTAAATGTTAGCATACCCATCGTTATATCCCTCTTATTTTTAATTATTTAAATAATATATATATATATATATATATATATATATATATATATATATATATATCTTAAAATATAGAGAAAAAAAATAACTAGTTGTGGTGATTCGTGCATCTCACCACAAATGACCACGAAAACTTCAACCACTAGCCACCACTAAGCACCCAGGATAGTGTTTACATTTGTGGTTCGTGGCCAGCTAGACCACAAGCATCTTCTTGCATTTACTCCGGTATGTCTTAGAGAACTTGTGAACTGCATGGTCCGGTTTGGTCCCCTTCTTTTTATATGCATATACAATTATTAATATGCCTAAACTTGACTTGATAAAAGGTAAAAAGAAAATGAGAAAAATAACTTGTGAAATGCATGGTCCTGTTTGGCTGTTTGGTCCCCTTCTTTTTACATGTATATACAATTATTAATATACTTAAGACTTGATAAAAGGTAAAAAGAAAATGAGAAAAAACGGCACAACAATAAAACATAAAAGTAATAATAATCTATCGGTTCCTTAACCAGTCCGATCCAAACAAAATAACAAAATAGTCTAGGCAATAGGTGTCTTTTCCCAAAACTTATTATTACTATGGTGCTATTAATAAACTACCTATCAAACCCAACACTGCACTTTTTATGCAAATTACAAATGAAACACAACACATGCTTTTAACCAACTTTTATTTTTATATTATCAGTTTATAATCTTAAAAAATAATCTGGTTACCAAATAAGATACCCAAGATTACGTCATAAGAATCTATTAAGATACTTGATGAGTTCAAATTCAAGCGTCACGATTGTTGAAGGATATTTGTTGGTTTACTTATTAATATTCACCAGTCACATGAGAAGAATCATATTGTACAACTAGAAATCTCTAAATATTGTATGTTCACCGTAGACAATGATCATTCACATAAGAATTTAATATGATCATCGTTAATATTCATCATTTATATAAAAATGGTCATAGTTACAATGATAAATTACTTGATATTGCAAGTTTAGAGTAGATGGATGAATCAAATAAATGGATCGATTGGATAGATTGAATAGATTCACCATTCAATAGGGTTGTTATGTATAATTTGGTAAACTGAATTCAAAGAAAAACCGTTACAGATGTGCAAAGAGATTTCTCTCATCATCATATAAATCAACTAAAGAATATCTTTAGACATCACTAATCCCTAAAAGACATTCAACTCAAGGTAAAACAAAGTCTTATGTTATCACATAGATGATGGAATGCTCCTTTGACTAACTCAACAAGCCGAGGACCTTCAGAGTTCACCCTTTTGACATCACAGGTTCTGTGGATCAAAATACAATACAACAAAAATAAGCAATAGTAATAGTAGCATGAGAGGATAGAAGGTGAAATCCATATATAACAATCAGCTAAAAACGTCTAAAAGGAATTTGGAGGACCTTGAAGAAGCTTCCAATTGTAATCCAAGCCATTTTTCCCAATTATACAACCACCTTGATAGGAACCATGTTCAGAATCTTCAATATGAAAGTGTATGTAAACGCATCCTCTTGGAGTTTCTCAAACCTAAATTAAACATAAACAGGAAGCAGATGGTTAAAGATTTGAACCAAAAAATATGTTTTTGGTATATTTTTAACAAAAGGAAAGAATACTAAATCATTATGACCTTCCTGACTTGGAGAAGTGTCCTGCTCCCATCTCACATTTAAACAACAAAACATTCTCATCTGTTTTCATCTCTCTCAACTTGGCAACAAACTTAGCAGGTTCTGAATAAAGTACACGTGGATCTGCAAAAACATGTCATACATACATACCTCCAGTTAAACAATACATTAGATATAATCAAGAAAACGATATTGGCACAAATTACCAAATAAAAAAAAGTAAACACTACAATATGTCACTGTTGTCATCTTCTTGAAAAGACAGCCTACCATTTAATCCAGCAGTAACAAGTATGGCTGGATAATTCTGAGCTTTTACCTGTTCAAAATAGAGAGAGCCATATCAACTGATGATCTATCAGATGGATTTAAACTGAAACAAGACACATTGACACTCACATTATCAACTGGTGAATATGATTTCATGTAAAAGTAGAACTCTTCTTTCCGAGGATCACCCCATTCCTGCAATAAAACAAGTCATTCACACTTTGAAAGAAACATACTAATATTATCATAGCATCCTAATTTGAGTTTCCAAAGAAAAAAAAAAAAAAGATTATATATAAATCACCTCCCATTCTGCAGTTGTAAGAGGAATAGTTGGATCAAGCATTGTAGTCACAACATCTACAAATGGTACTCCAGCTACAGCAGCCTTAAATAAATCGGGTCTCATGTTCACAACAGCACCAATAAGCAACCCCCCTGCACTTCTTCCATTGATGCACAGTTTTTCTTTCGTACAATATTTCTTTTGTATCAGATACTCTGCACAATCGATAAAATCTGTGAATGTATTCTTCTTATGAAGATATTTCCCATTTTCATACCACTTCCTCCCCATTTCTCCACCCCCACGAATGTGAGCAATTGCATATATAAAACCACGATCCAATAAAGACAATCTTGATGCTTTGAAACAAGGATCCACACATATCTGCATAACAAGACAAATGGAAATTGTATCAGTGACAATGTAGTAACGTACAAGTTTCAATTTATTTCTTGCATGCAAATCTATTACCTCATAGGATCCATATCCATACAGCAACATTGGATCCGACCCATCAAGCTTCACCAGATCCTTTCTGTAGACAATTGATATAGGAACATGAGTCCCATCTCGAGCAACTGCCCACTCCCTTTTGGTTACATAGTTTGAGATATCAAAACCACCCAATACCTGATTCCACCAAAAAAGAAACTCATTAGACCTAACGAGTTGATTTTTTTTTTTTTTTGACTAAAATCAATCATCATGTATGTAACTTACTGTTTCGATTTTCTTCAGAACTGAAACTCCTGTATTCATGTCGTAATCATATGTAGAAGGGGGTGTTCTCAGAGAGCTATAATCAAATCTCAATATACTTGAAGAAAATTGTGACTCTGCTGGTTCCACTGAGTAAACAGGGTCAATAAATTCAACAGATTGGCCACCTTGGAGACTTTGAAGTGGTTCACCAATAGGTGGAAGAGGATAAAAGGTTACCCGAGGTAAACCCTTTTCACGCTCATACACAACAAGGTGATCACTAAAAGTTCTTACATCCTGTATTTTTACAGTTTCCCTATGAGGAAGAAGAATGGTGGTTGCATTTACATTGTCCAATGGACATGCTAGTAGTTCTGAATTGAAAGCCTCATCACTCCTCCTTTTGATGAAAAAATGATTGCCACGATGGCTGACTGATGTATCAATGCCCTCTGTGCGAGGTGTTAGAATTGTAAGATTGTTCTCAGGCTTTGAGATATCAAAATAGAAGATAGACCTTGTAGTTTTACTCTCTGATCCAACAAATAGGTACTTTTTGCTCTCGGAAGCTTCAAGATCTAGAGAAAACATATCATCTTTTTCATCATAAAGACATGAATCTGTTGATTGATTTGTACCCAACTTATGAAACCACACCTTGTCTGGCCTGAGAATCGCATCCATGGTGATGTATAGCAAAGCCTCATCACCTGCCCATTCAAGATAACTTGTTACACCAACCAAGGGGTCACCAACAAGTGTGCAAGTCTCAGCATCCATGACATAAATGGTATAGATCTCATCTCCTTTAGTGTCTTCTGCGTATGCTACCAATTTGTGATTTGGACTGACTTTAAAAGCCCCAATGCTGTAATATGCATGCTCTTTAGCCTTAACATTTTCATCCAAAATCACATGCTCAGGAGGAGCTTCTGGTCCTGTTGGCATGGAATCATGAACAGATGGTACATCCCCATTGTTTTCTACAAGGCGCCGACAATGCTGTACGTACTCTTTGCCCTCCAAAGTCCGCTCGTAATAGTAGTAAGGGCCTTTTCGAACAGGTGCAGATATATCATCTTCTTTAATCCGGCTTCTTAACTCAGCATAAATCCGATCTTCCAAATGTTTGGTTCCTGATATTTAATATACAAGAACTCTTTTCAATTACTAAGAAAAAAGTTACATATGAGAGAGTACAAGTAGCAAAAAAAACAGTCTAAATCAACTTCAGATTGAGAGAGTACAAGTAGAAGGGAGTTGGTTACCTGACATGATGAAATCAGTATAAGCATTTTCTTGTTGAAGGTGGGAAAGGATTTCAGGATTGGAACGAGAATCGTCACGAAGCCAGTAGTAATTATCAACCCTAACGTCTCCAAACATTTCCATTTCGTGCTTCACCTTCTTAGCTACAGGAGGCTGCAGATTTTTCGTATCGGTAGCAGCCATAGCTGATGTTTGGGAGGAGCAGGTGGTGCTTCTTGTTGTTGTGTAGAATCGTTGAGACAGTCGAGTGAAACCGGAGGCAGAAGCAGAAGAGATCGGCCGTAATCCGAGTTTAATTTGGGCCAACGGGAATAACGAGACCATTTTTCGGCCTTTCCAGCCTTTTATCTTCACAGGCACGCAAATGTACAACTCTCTATTTGTTTTATACCATAATAAATAATAAATAATAATACATGTAGCTTTTATAAATGATTGCAATATATTTATTTCTTATCCATGAAAAAACCCATCAAATATTTGTAATCATTTTAAATGTTGTATATTCTATATAGTTATTATAGGTAGATAAATAGACATAGTTTGCTTTTTTTTTTCAAATAAAGAAATATAAGTGCACTTTTATCATTGATAAAGAAAAATAATGTCGCAAGCAAAAGTAAAATATGTTGTTATTTTACAATGTCCTACAATAAGTCATGGATGGAGTGTGACGTCCAAATCGTGTGGAGGATTATCATTCTATCATACCCATCATTATTTAGTCGTGCATGTGCGGTCGGGAGAAAGTGTACATTGTCATCGTGATTCCACCCATAAAAATTAAGGTCTCAATGTAGGATATTTTGAGACCACTAATAAATATATATAAATAATGTTATCATCGATTTTATATTATTATGAAAATTATATAAAATTGTTGATGGATCAATTTTATTAATAAATAAAGATATACGTTTACTATGTTTATCTTTTGGGTTAAGTTTCCTATTTTATTCAAGATCTCCTAAATTCATAATATCTCTCATATTCGGTTAGATCTCAATCTATATAAATACTTGATGAGAAACAGATTTATAATATATGAAAATACATATAAGAATTTCGTTTTAGGGTTTGCTGTATGATTTAGAGAGTTTTTGAGATCAACTGAAAAGTTCAACCTAGTTATTCAGATCCGAAGATCATAATGAAATTAGGTATGTAATCATTCTTTCAGGTTTAAGATTTTCTTTTGATAGATTCGAGAATGAAGATCTAAAGTTGTCTTTTCGCATCTTATGTTTTTGTTATCAAAATAAACAACACTCCAAATATAAATCTCTTGAATTTGTGTCTATAAAATATGTTTCCTAAGATCAAATTTTGTTGCATACTAGTTGGCTAAAACATTAAGATTTTACCAAAAGACCCAAATTCAAGTCCTGCCGTGAAAGCTAGGGTGAAAACATCTGTATCGTAATATGGGTATGAGTATAGTATATGTACAAACAGGTAAGTGAACTACTCCTTCGACTGGTCTGCCCGCCGTTTGGTTTGAGGGCCTACATCGACTAGCCCCCCCGTTAACTGCCCTTGACTAAACTAATCTAATAGAAAGTCAAGGGGCTTGAAAGGTTACCTGATTATTAGAGAAATGTTTGGAACCCTAGTTTTGGAGTTTTCGCCCGGTTAGCCACCAGAGGCAAGCGTTAGACCCTATAAAGCACATGTATTTACTAAGACTGCTACGTAAACTCATTGTAGAAAGAGAGTCACAAATGCCAATTTCCCTTTTCCAAATATAAATGAAATTCATTTAGATTCATTTATAAAAAATTAGTTAAAAAAAGAATATTTTTGTAGGAGTCTGGCGGTTAAAAAATGAAACTCTATAACAGAGGTCTTGACTTCAAAACTAAAGCATGTTCTCTTCAACATTGGTATCCCGGGACTGTCCTCTCATATAATTGCATTGGTGGGTTCGATGTGATACCATTTATCAACTTTTTTTGTTCATATTTAATGATAATGTATCGTACTTTAGTTGTTTAACAAGTTTGACTTGCATACACCTAAGTTCATGTCCCATGACAATCTATTTTTAATACAAGTTATCCTTTGGTATTATGGAAGTTATATAACTTAAATTACTTTTAGGTAAAAAGAATGTTGTACTTTCAAAACGTAAATACATTGGTCTTAAGCCTTAATAATAAATAGTGGTGTATGTAAAAGGTTCAGTGAGGATCTGGGGTACTATACATCCCTAAAACATATTATGTGTTGTATATTAAATTGTAACTTATAAGCCTTGCATCTTGTACCTTTGTCTCGACATGAGTGCTAATTACAGGTGCCAAAAAAAGCTTTTGTTTTGAAATATGTTTACGATCCGATCTGAACCGTTTTAGAAATCGGTCTGATAGAAACCGATATGATTTGCAGTTGAAGCGTGGTTTATACCAGTTTGAGGATTTTATCATTGTAATCGATTTGGGTGAAATAGGTATTCAAACCTATAAAAAGGATTGTCATATAGTAAATATGTTCTTTTCATCCATTATATCTTCAATTTATTGTTAATACAAAATTTTGAAGGTTTTCGAAGACCAATTTTCACTCATTACACTATCTTGGATGCCCGACAAACATTTTTTCTAAAAGTTAAAATTTGAAAATTTTCATTTGAACCCCCTAAATGCTTGAAAAACGTCTTACACCTTTGCTTATTCGTATGTTTATGATTAACTAAAGAATTTTCATTGAATTTCAACACCATAATCAAAATTGATAAAATACGGAAAAATAATGAAAACATAGGTTTTTTCAAACCGATTTCACCCAAATTGGTTTTAAACCAATCCTAATCGGCTTCTATAAGTTTAGATATTTTTGCTCAAAACTAGTTTCAATCCGACTCGATTTGTTAGTCATATTGTTTCCGTCTTTCTCCTCTATTAACAAAAACTTAGTAAATAAACATTGACAATAATTTAATATAGTATATGTTAATTTGGGCCTTTTTTAATCCATCTAAATTATTAAACATATAATTAAAGCACAACATCCTTATGAACAGTACTTAACTATGGTACTGTTCATCATGTTTGTTTAACTGAGGTTTGCTTACCTGATGTTAGTTTAATGCTTCTATTACCCCACCGCCTTTCATCTTCCACCGCCTAAGATCCTTTCCATTAATCTTCTTCACTACTTACCGTCTGCACAAGGAGACCACGAAAGCTGCAGTAGTTTCCTCACCACCATACTCGCCGGTCACCGGTCAGCCTGTTGATTTTCGGCCGCCCCCACTCAGGTAGGTATGAAAGGGGTAGCGATTTTAGTTCACTTTCTTTATTATTGTTACAATTACTATATCACGAAAATGAGTTCACTGATTGGTCTTCTCTTCCCAAGATTTAGGGTGGAAATACCACCTCAAAACCTCTGCACCTTGATTTAAAAAAATATATATTTACAAACGTTTTGCTTGCAGCTCCTCTCTAATCTGTTAAACTGCACCCACATTTTAAATTCTAAATTTCTGATTTTTGTTTTGAGATAGAGAAAAGGAGGAAGACGATTCTGATTACATGTCCCTTTGGCTTCGAAATTGTGTCAATTTTTTTAGACATAAAACACCATCTTTTTTTTGCCTATGTTCTATCATTTGACTCGATTTTTTTTACACAATGCACCATCTTTTTTTGCCTATGTTCTATAAATTTCTTTTGATACTGAATTAGGAGACAAATGTTTAGGTAGCTGGGGAGATTTTAAAAGAAATTTCATGATGCATTCCACCTGCTCGATAAAATGCTCGAACCAGGTTTCTGAATTTTTTTTTGTCCAAGTTCAGTTTTTTTTTAAAGTAGGCAAAAAGGGACTTTTAGAAATTTTAGGCAAGAAGGTAAGGATATGGAGTTACAACTTACAACCAAAGGTGGTGAAAATATACAGACAGTTGTTCAAAAGATTTCCTATCCTAAAATTTTGATGACAGAAAACTTAATCATTTTTCAATTTCTAATATATATTACATTCTATCATGGTAAGTAAGCTGTATAATGTGTGCTTAAAATTTTTGAGGGCCAATGAAGTCGTAACTTTCCACCAACTGCAATTGTTGTCTCTTGGTACATGAAATGATTTCTCAACAAGTTTTGGTGCGATAATCTTTTAGTATCTTTCTAATTTTATGTTTTTTTTCAATAAAGATCAGGTTCTTCAAATTAAACTTCATTTCATCTGGCGGTCTTTCAGGTCGGATATGAAATGGGAATCGAAAGAGGAACCATAAGACAACGATGATGAGTACAACATCTGCTCTTCAACTTGAGGTGTCATGTAAAGTTTTTTTTTTTTTTTTTTTTTTTGATCGCGATTTTTGTTTATTAAGAACTAATTCGTGTGTTGTATATAGTTTGTGTAAAAGACTATTATTCATTCCACCCGAGTTATGAAATAGATATTCAATTCAGGGAGATATCATCTTATTGGCTTGATGGGTGTGAGATACATAAACTTGATGATAGTATATGTATAATTTAACTTCAGAAACTGATTTTTGTTTGATTGTTTTTTTCCTACTCTATGTATTTGTAGTATAATTAAATAAAAATACCATTTTTAATTACCAATAAATGGAAATGAACTCATTACATATGGATGAAAATGGTTCCTTCATCAAAAGGTTTAATTGTTTGATGAAACTCTATGTAGATGCACCACATTAAGAAGGATAAAATTGGCATTCCTATAGGTGTTGGAATTACCGGTGGAATAGACTTTCGATTTCTGACCTTTGGAGGATTCAAGGTGCAAAGATTATATTTAAGGGTAATATGGTTTATTTACATGTATTTAATAATGTTTTGCTAATGATGGTAGTGAGAAGGACTAAAAATATTAAAAAATTGAAAACATGACCAAATTTGCAAAAAGGTTTTTTATGGACTTAATCCAAAAATACATGACATGGGCATAAATTGTAAGTTAGTATTTTATTTATTTATTTTAATTTGTTTATTATTAAGCCATTGTAGTCTGAAAGTACATTGTTACATTTAAACACGGACCAAATGTGCGTTCTACTTCTATTGTTATTTCTTATTCGCATAAAGAGCAAGGGAGTTACCATTTGTTATAGTTTGTTTCTAGAAACTCACTTTTTACTTTGTTTTTACTTTTCTTTTTACTAATACTAATTTGTTTTTAACTTATGCAGCTTCTGTACACAGATTTTGAGGTGATTGGAAAGGGATTTTGAGGAAAAGAGGAAAGGGAGAAAAAATTGTTGTATTATTGTAAGGGTTGAAGAGGGAATACTCAAAAGGTGGAAAACATCAAGATAAGATTTTAGATTTTTAATTGATTAACTTATTTTGTTGTCCCTAAAATGGTATTTCAGTTATGATCCTTAATTTGAAGTTTTTCTCACATTTATGGTCATTATTTGAAGGTACTGTTGTAATTCATTTTTAATTGCTGCAATT